CTCACCTCCCAGAACTTGACTGTGCCGTCATCGGAGCCTGGGGGGGGGGCAGGAGAGACGGCAGCTGTGGCTCCTCAGAGAAGGGGGGGGCGGGCCCTCTGGCAGGACGGAGCCCTTGGGGGGGCCCCTGGTTGGCCCTCAGAGGGGGGCTCCTGTGTGGCCAGGGTCCCAATTCCAGGCTGGAAGGCGAAGCCTCCCCCCCCCCGCCCCCCCGGGAGGCTCCAAAGGCCCTGCCTGCAGCCAGGGGGGAGGTGTGTGTGTGTGTGTGTGTGTGTGTGTGTGTGTGTGTGTGCGCCTGGGGACTCCAAGCTTCCCCTCAGCCTGGAAAGGGGGCCTCCTTTGGGAGGGGCAAGGAGGCCGCCCCCCCTTCCCCCCCCCAGTTGCCTCCCCCTGCCCTGGAGGCCCCTGGTGGTCCGGGCACCCAGCTCACCTGATGCCAGCCACTGCCCGGTAGGCGAGAGGCTGATGCAGCGCACGAGGCTGGCGTGCCCACGATACACCTGGAGGGGAACAGGCAGGTGAGGGGAGGGACACAGGAAGCGCAGGGAGGGCAGCCCCCCCCCTCCACCCCGAGAGGAGGAGGAGGAGGAAGTGCTGCCCCCAGTTTCCATCGGCTGCTCCAGCCTCCCAAAGTTTTCGGCCCAGCGGAAGCCCAGAGCCAGAAGACCCCCCCTTCCCCCCCCCCCACAAAAAGGACCTCACCAGGGCCTGCACGGCTGGGAAGGGCTTCAGATCCTGGGGCTTGGGCAGCTTGGGGATGAGGTCCTCAGGATCCACGCTGACCTGGGGGGGGGGGAGGGAAGCCCACCACCCTCAGTTCCAGCTGGGAGCGGATGCCCAGGCTGGCCCAGGGGGGAACCCGCCCCTTGCCCCCCATCGGGATCAGCCGAGGGCTCCACGTGCCCCCCTCCCCCCAAATGCCCTGGCTGGGGGGGCGGGGGGACACAAGCAGCAAAGCCCACCCGCATCTTCCTCTGGCGTGGGCACAGGTAGAGGTCGAGGCAGCGCTCGAAGCGCTCGTGGATGAAGCGGGGGAAGGCCGGCACGCGGCGGAGGCAGTCGTGGCGCTGGGGCAGGAAGTTCAGCCGGCGCTCCGAAGGCTCCTGCTGCTCCCAGGCGAGTTTCTGCACGGGGGGGGGGGGGGAGGTGAGGAGGGGGGGAGAGACCCCACCCCAGAAGCCCCTCCTGTAGCACTGGGGCTGGCTCCCCCTCCCCCGGGCCCAGCCTGGCCCTCACCTCTTCCTCGGTCGGGAGATACTCCGGAGGGGGGTTGTAGGACTCCTCGTGCCCGGGCAGGGGGAGTTTGGGGGCGGGCACGTGCATCTTGTGCCGCCCCAGGATGGAGGTGTGGTCCTCCTGGGCCCAAAGGTCGTAGAAGACCCCCGTGTCCTCCCGGGGCCTCCTTGGCTGGATCCAGCCCATCTTGATGGCGTGCACCAGCCTGGAGACCTGCAAGGTCAGAAGAGCCGCCATGAATCCCTCACCTCCCCGGGACCCTCCGGGAGCCGCAGAGGCCCTGCCTGGAGGTGCCCCGGGCGAGGCCTTCTCTCTCCCAGGTTCCTTGGAGGGAGGGAGGGAGGGGAGCAGGCAGGGCACCTGAGCAGTCGGTCATGTTGGGGGGTGGGGAGAAAGCGGGTGTCCCCCGCCAGGCAGAAGCCGGAAGGGATCTGGCCAGGACCGCTCTGGGCCCCAGTCCCTCCAGGGTCTCCAAGCCTGGGTTGCTCCTCCGGGGACCCGGGGCCACGATGACCAAAGCCAGCTGCCCCACAGCGCCATCCCCTGGCACCTGAGCAAGCCACCCTCAGCCCCGCAAGCCCTCTGGATCTGAAAGGACAGAGCGCCGGATCCGGTGTGGGGCGGGACAGCATCGCCTGGGAAACGGGGCGCGTTGGGGGGCCCGGAGCCCCCTCCTCCCAGGGGAGCCCTCCTCTTTCCCAGCAGCTCACCTTCTCCTTCTCCACCAAGGAAGGGATGAAGCTCCGCTTGTCCGCCGGACGGTTTGTCACCGGGTGGATCCTCACCTGGCTGCTGAAGAAGTCCACGGCCGGCTGCAAAGGAGACCGAGGTGGGTGGGGCTGCAGCCGCAGGAAAGCCGCTGTTCCCCCCCCCCACACACATTCACACTGTGGCTCCCTGGGAGCAGGGAGGGGGCAGCAGCCCTCGGCTCACCTCGTACGGATTGAAATTCACGTCCCCAAACTGGCCACGCTGGAGACGGTTCACCAGCTCCACTTGCTCGTCCGTCAGCTTCACATCCGCCCCAGTCATCTTGTCCTGGACCGTTCGCCTGGGGGGGGGGGG